CACTGCACGCTCAGTCACTGTACTGACATCATCACACTGCATGCTCAGTCACTGCGCTGACATCATCACACTGCATGCTCAGTCACTGCACTGACATCACTATACACTGCACACTCAGTCACTGCACTGATGTCACTATACACTGCACACTCAGTCATTGTACTGACGTCACTATACACTGCAAGCTCACCGTACCGCCATCATACCAAATTCAGTCTCTTTACAATTCTAACCAAAAAAACCCTGGAAAACAACAAATAATTGATCTAGTCTGAGCAAATAAATTGCACAGTTTTGTTAGCACCAAAGACCTTAGATAGAGAGAAAACCAAACTACACCCATTGCTCATCACTGCAGTTAACACCAAGAGCAGAAGAAAACAGTAAGAGTCTTCCAAACTGCAACTAAAACAGTCAAAATCAGCACCATCATTTTCAGTAGAGGACTGTCTGGTCAGCTGAAATTACTCGGGGGTCACAATGGAACTACGAGCGAGGGCTCTGAGAGTGGGGTCCCCGGCTCCCCTAAAACGACAGCAGGATATAGCTCCCAGAACCGCAGGCCAGGGAGGTACTGGCTCCCTGGGTGAAAGGTTTGCCTGGGGGACAACGGAGTTGCTGTGCCTGCTGTGTGTGCTCCGTGATGCGCTCGGAAAGCGCCACGTGTGGAGAGGCAGGGACGCCGTACCGAGCTCGGGCTGGGACTGCACTGGTGAGTAGGTGTTGATGAAGGAGTCCCCCTCCTCCTGGGGGAAGATACTGGGCTGGATGAAGCTGAGCAATGAGTAGACCTCCTGCAGGCTGTTCTGGATGGGCGTCCCGGTCAGGAGCAGTCGAAACCCTACCGAAAACTGGAAGCACACGGGACACAGAGACGGACATATTCACCTCACTTTCGCAAGATGGAGACTGCTGCCTTACACAGACAGGAGACATGCCGAATCAAGACTCTCCCGTCACACGAGAGCTAACAAACTGTGTTTCTGAACACGTCTAAAGCACACAGGGAGCAACTGCATGAAAGCAAGTTTTTGCTTCAGAGCTAAATTTGTTCCAGTTATTTTAACTCCAAAAGAGCTTCACGTAAAAACGTCTTAACCTAAAAAAAAAGTATATTTTACTTAAATATGAATTCACTTTGAACTAAAAACAAATAATATAAAATAGTCTGATGATAATCAGAACATAATTGAAGATAAGGCAATTGTTTTTTTAACAATAGCTATCTTTCAAACAGAATTTCTTTCTTTCAATAAGTTCAGTAGAGTAATCAACCAGTATAATGTATGATGTGTTATTATTTCGATACATACTGTAGAATCTATTCAAGGTCAGCAGACTCTCTGTCCTAATGACACAAATACATCCAAGTCTGAGGTACCAGCATGTACTTATCTCGAAATAGATTTGGGTCAGACCAGTTATCAGATCAAGAGACAAGACAGGTGTGAATTTCGAAAGCAGGTTTCACTAGAAGAGGTTGTCGCGTTTATATCACATCAGGGATCGCGGGGCTTCATGGGATCGGCGTTACTGAAACAGCCCAGGCGCACAAGCGACCTGAAGGGGCAGGGGGGCGGCTCATAGGCACCTCGGACAGGGTTCTGTGCAGTAAAGAGTTCTGGTTCTTCAGCCTGTGGGCCTCGTCCACAACAAGCACCCTCCACTGCCACCTGCAAAAGCAAAAGGCACGGCCTTCAGACGCCAGCCCTCTGTCCCCGGCCTCAATCAACCGAAGAGCAGGCAAAAGATTCCGTGATGCAGTGATTGCATTGAGGTGCTCCTCTGCTCGTGAAGTGGCCCTTGCAGAGCGTTATCCAGTTAGAGCTCTGGAAAGCGAACAGGCTGACAGTTCATTTTGTCTTTTACACCAGAATCAGAGCACTTTCATTCCTGCTTCTGCCAAGGCAAGCTGGCAGGATGCAGAACAGTCCTTTCCTGAGGCAGACCCATTTTTTAAACACAGACAGCAAACCAGAAGCACAAAGATGGGTTTGCGTTGGCAGTTATTACATATTACAATTTAATATGTCTTTAGTCTGCAAAACTTGCAACTATACCGTTTGCTGTGACAGTTGTTAGTGAGCAAAAGCACTATAAGAAGCTGAAGTTTTCCATATCGCACAGGTTTTCAATGTTTTACCAGTTGTAGGGAGATCACGGGCAAATAAATACCATATGAGAAACTAATGTTAAAAATGTTTTTCTCCATTAAAGTAATTAATTGAAAAACTAGCACTTCATAAACTTCACATTCCTCCACCCGCTATGCAGAGGGAGAGACACTTTCCATGCTGTGACAGCAGTGTGCAGGGAGTCTAGGTCTGTCACAGGTGGAGAGCTGTGCTACCTACGATGCAGAGACGGCACACTCACCTTTTCATGAATGAGGCATCTTTGAGACAAATCTGCAAACAAAAGACAGTAACAGCTGCTGTGACAATAAAGGACCAGACAGAAAAAGGTTTTATGAACATGCAGGGCAAAAAATACACAGATCATGGGTCTTGATCTACCTGAACACCCATCTTCTATGGTCTAATAATGGTCTAATGATCTCCTGTTCATCTAGTCCTACATACCCCTTGAGGTCTGCCAGGTCCTCACCTCGTAGGTAGTGAGCAGTACGTGGAACTGCTTGTTCCTCAGATCCTTCTGCAGCTCAGCTCTTGTGTCCTTATTTCCAGAGTAACAAACCACGGACAGGCTTGGGGCAAATCTAAAGCAATAGACAGGCAGGGCTCTTTCATTCTCAGCACAAACAATGGGTTAAAGCCAAAAGCAGAAAGGATGATTTAGCATTAATATGGGGGGTTAGCACTATTGAGCAACAGTCATTCTAAATGAAACAATTCTAATGACAATAAGTATAATTAAAAAATTCACCAAATTCAAATAAGGCTTCACAAAAACAGGAGATAACAAGCTTCAAGCATTTAATTAAACAAGGGGTGAAGCAACACTGGCGTGCAGCAGGGTGATACACAGAGCTGGCGTGCAGC